ATACCTGTCCCAGAATAATCCTGCTGGTAGCAACATCAATAGCACAGACACCAAAAATCCGCTTCTCAATCTCATTTGTTGAGCTTTGACAACTTTCAGTGACTGCCATGAGGTAAGAAGGATCAGGATTTACAGAAAGCATCTCTCCCTCAGTTAGTGTTCCTTTTGTAACCACTCCACATATTTCACGTTTCACAACCTACAAACACAGTGAAAAATGTCAACTTTAAAATTCCAACAACTCCTTCCCCCAGCCTAACTCTTTTCCCAATAATTCCACATGAGAAATCTCAAAGGCAAACAAAAATTTAGAAAGAGAACTTATTGGAATATTAACAAGAAACCATGAGAAATCTCAAAGGAAAATAAGAATTTAGAAAGAGAACTCATTGAAATATTATCAAGAAACAGATATTGAAAATCAGAAGAAGATTATTAAACATGATATAGAAAACATCAATTTCAATGCATTGGGGAATAGCTGAAATAAATGCATGTTTGGTCAATCTTATGGGCAATAAGGCAGACCTTATCCTTAGTGCCTTTTTCTTTTCGACGAAGCTCCAGCTGTTCAGGTGTTTCTGTCTGCTCCACCACAAGAACTCGGTAACCCTGCTCTTGCAAAGCAGCACAACTAAAATATCCCCCCATAGGAAAAAATTGTTTAAATTGAAAAAAAAAAAAAATGAAAGAAAGAAGACAAAGATAGCATATAAAATTAAAAAAATACAAATCAAATGGGATATGTGGCCAAACCTTTCTAGCTAATTTCTCCACATTCATAGAGAAGTTCCTCTCTGGAAATCCACAATGTGGTTGTTCTCCCTGAAAATGTGAGTTGACATCAAGTACTAATTTGAAGATGGAAATGTAAATAAACAGCATGAACGAATCTGTAGAGGATGCAATAAATCTGTCAATAAATGGGCCAAAAGAATCACAGAAGAGACTAGAACAAAAATGCTTACCCATCATTTTTCTATCCTGAGCATCAAGACAAAAAACCATAAAAAGATGTTGGGGATAATAATTCAAAAGGAAAAACAAGGACCGACGGAGAAAGTTGACAACGTTGATGTTAGCATTAAAAGAAAAAGATCAATGGGTACCTTCATGTATTGCAAATCCAGTTCTTTTGCACCAATATGTGCATCCATTTCAAACAGTTCATAAAATTTGCCCATCTGCTCAAACAAAACTGAAATGTTAAACAACTTCACTCTATTAAAAACAATTTGCAATTTAGATGGTACATGGCAGTCTTCAATACCTTGAAAAATAAAACTTTGTCCATATGCTTTGACTTAAACTCCCACCATTGTCTCTGCATAGTAACAGCAGGTCACTAGATAATTAGCAGTCAAAATGGAAATGACCTTCAAAGCAATCAATGTTTGGAAGCTCTTACCTGGCCACCTGATAAGCTCTTTAAGAAATCAGGAGGCAAGTATAAAGTCTTTGGATCATAACCTACATCTCCAGGACGTCTTCTTTTTGCATCCCGACGTTCTCTGTTTAAAGTCTTAAAAAATTCAGCATAGAATACAGGAATAAACTAAGTTACGTATAACAAAATGCCTCCATAAATAAAGCAGTAAGTTCCATCTTATGAAAAGAGATATGCAAATTAGTTCAGCCGAAAAATTAATGTTTCAACAGTGTACAATCAAGAAACAGACTGCAACCAGAGCATGCTACAAGCAGTCAATGGCCGGAAAGATAAGTCAGAGAAAAAAATAACTTACAGTCCGAGGAAAGGGAACTTCTCTACTTCACGCTTACCAAACCTCTCTGACGCATCAGCAACTAAGGAACCATTCAAACCATTAGATGCCTTTTCAGCTGCAGTAAAAATAACCATAAATGAGAATCCATCAATAATTATATGTTTGTTTCAGATTTCTTACTACTGAGATATGCTAATATTGAATCTTTCGGGGAAAAACAAAATTAATGTCATTATTTAATCAAGACAGAATACAGAAGAAAGATATGAAAAAAGAAAAGAAATTAAAAGAATTATGGTATAAGGTAAAATTTCATACTTTACCATACATTACCTGATAAAAGGATAAAACAAATGCTGTACAAAATCCAAAGCATATATTTCATTTTCTTTCTTCTTCAAAACATAAACAACTTAAAAGGAGGAATTTCAAATTAGAAACCCCCAAAAGTGGCTTCATTACTTACTTTCAGTGATCTTTGCAGGCTCCATGGCAGCAACCTTAAGCTCGCCCTTAGTCGTATCCCCATTGGTCTTACTCCTCTTCCCAAAGTCCACCTTTCCTCCACTTGCCTTCCGCTTACGTGATTCACATTTTCCACCACGCTTTCCTTTCGATATTTCCATTTCCTCCTCTTCCTCCTCTTCTGCTTCCTCTTTCTCATCATCCAAATCCATATCTTCCTCTTCAGTATCTTCACTCACCTCCTTCTCCGCATTTTTCTTCCCCCAATCTTCATCACTAGAATCATCGCTATTATGATCACTATTCTCCTCTGCATTCTCTACCTCATCCTCATCCTCTAACACCACCTTCTTGAAAGCGCGAGAACCCCCACGCCGCAACCGCTTGAACCTTTCTGTGGTTTCCTTGACCCACTCAATCCTCTCCTTCCCCAAATCCAACTCCTCCTCCTCAGCATCGTCATAATGAACCAAATGCTTCCCCGACTCCTTATCAAAAGCCTTCACAACACCCTCATACCAGGTCTTGTCCAACGGCCAGTAAACCTTAATCCTCCTCTCCAGAACCTCCTCCCCGTAGGATGTAGCAACCGGCGTGGAGGGGCTTTGACCGATGACTAGAAGTGGCTTCTTAAGTTTGGGTTGGATCGGCGACGGCGTGGTTGGACTGGAACTCGGACTCGGACTGACGTTAGGTTTAGGTTTAGATTTAGGGTTCAGTTTAGGTTTTTGTTTGGAGACGGTAGGGGAAGGAGAAGGAGCAGGGGAAGCGGAGGTATTCTTAGAGAAGAAAGAAGTAATCTGCCGTTGTTGATTAACGAGCGGCGATCTGCCGCTGGTGCTGCGACGCGACGGCGCCATTCTCTGAATGATCGATCGAGACGGAGAGTAAGAAGTGAAGCACAAAATCGGAGATAACGAAAGCAGAACCCGATCGTTTTCTGGAAAGCGTAAAGATGAAGAAAGAGAAGGGTCCGGACGATTGAAGTCTATAGCATGAAAGATGGCGGGAATTCCACCGGAAATTCCCGGGAATTGCTGTGGTTAAGGATAATCTTTGGCGGGAAAATTGGGGGGGCAAAAATGCTACCTGCGCACTTCATCTTCCTCCTCGTAGACTGCAAACCGTGCAAAAAGGTAATGGGCTCGAGGCCCAAACAATTTGGGCTTAACATTTATTCGAGCCCAAAATTAAAACGAGGTACTCTGTAACAATAACAATGGCCGAATAAATGTTTCTTTTATTGGATTTATTTATACTTTCTTAATTTTATATGAAAAAAATGTTTATTAATCTTAATTGAAAAATAATCATTTTAATAATTTTTATTGAAACCAAATAATTTTAATTTTTCTAAAAAATTTTATCAATTTAATTGATAAATACTAATATCATTTTATATAATATATATCTGACTTTTCTAGTTGGATATATAAGATATAAGGCTGATGTTATTCTGTTAATCCACTTTTTAACATACACAAACACGCAAACACAGATACTTCATATGAAAGTTTATATTATTTCATTATAAAAACGAGTTCTTGAGAATGCATGATCTGTAATGCCTCGTTTTGTACGTTGAGTTGCTTTATACATCAAAAAAGATGCTGATTTTCTGGTATGTTTATATATTTTTCTTCTTTTTGTAAGAGTTTAAAACCTTTCAAGTTTAGTTTCATCAGAATAATAATAATAATAATAATAGAAGTATGATTTATAATAGAATTAGGATTTATTTACACATGTATTTTATATATTTTATTTATATAAAATTTTAATTATTTATTTTTTTACTTTTAATAATTAAAATATACATTTTTTATCATATTTATTAAAAATAATTATAGAAAATTATTCTATTTCTTCCCGATGATTGCTTAAACAAATACTCTCAATTTTTTTTTCTAAGTTTTTGATTTCTAAAAAAAAAAAAGGAATAAAATTCATTTGTGATTATGGAGAATTAGTCCAACAATAAGTCTCTCCAAATACAGGCATTTGTGGTGCTGCTACTTCCTGCTTTAGTGATCCCATATTAGCACCGAATAACAACACACATCGAACATGACATGATATGGAAAACCAAACTCTTTCACTCCCAACTTCAATTCAATATCCAGAGTGTAGGAAAATTGCTAAGTCCACTAAACTCATTCGTTCCCAATTTAGTGAAACTTTTCAGTCTCTTTGTCAATGGAAGTGAACTCCCCTTCAATGAGATCGATCTTGAGTAAGGTCAATGTTACATTATTTTCATTATACAATAAAGATACTTTTCTTCTTCTCTTAATCTTTAATCTTTAATTAAAAATTTTAAAATTTTAATTATTTGAGGTATCTTTTGTGACATAATTTTTATTATTTCTAAAAAAAAGAGTACATGACCAATTACATATTGGATTTTTCTTGCAGGTTGCTCCGATATTGTTGCAGTCTTTCTTGACAATCCCTTTCATGTCACAAATTTCATACGTTGGACTAAATGGAGTCCTTTATTCAAACTACATAGACGGAGATCAAGTTCTTGCAGTATACTCCAACTCTTCGTTTTCCTCGAATTCGAGCAGAGTGCAAGTGATGGAGGATGTTTTGTACAAGAAGAAAGTGGATCGTATGATCGGAAAGCTACATGGAGAAGCTATTAAATCCAAGTTATCGAATGTTGTTAAAAGTAGCTGGTTTCAAGCATCTTTGAATGGTACCGATGGCTATGCTTCATGAGGAGACGGCTGGGGCGGAGGTCGTAATTCTCTGATTCAAAACAGTGCCGGGGTTCATGGAAGACAGGTCGTGTCTCTAGGCTGTCCGGTCAAGGCATTGACTGATTTCCTGGCGGTTATGGATCTTTATGGAGGGAGATTGTACTTGGCTACAAAGGATGGCGAAATGCTGATGGAGGGGATTCCAGATGTTCACATGATCGTAGCTAATGGTTCGATTTCCTCCCAAGTAGAGAAGCCGAGTGATCAAGCAATAGCTCACTTCGGAAATTTTCATGGGATACCGGGAATGCCTCGGAATTCAATGTTGTTTTGGCCATCGGAGAAACAAAGTTCAATGTTTTATGCTCGCCAATTGAACTTTTGAGAGTGCAATTGGTACATTTCAAATTTTATAATCTTAATTTAATACATGCAAACTGATTCAAAATATCACTTAATTTTTTCATACACACACAAAAGAAAAAATAATTCTTGTTCATATGTACATTTGTATCTTTTTCTTTTAGGTATATGCATTGCTTATGCCACACAAAATATTAGTAAGGCTTGTTCACAAGAACAATTGATTGGCACTGATTTTTGTGGTAACAATGATCACGGCTGTATAGTCCCGTCCTCAGCTGCGTACCCC